TCTAGGGGTGTTCAAGCTCCTAAAGTATAAGAGGTTGAATTTTGCTCACAAAAAAGATTACCCAAACTTAGGAAGGCTCCATCTATTTATAAGCTTGAAATATGGTTTATCTTGGGGACCAAGTAAATTAAAATTCGCAAACGACTACTCAAACAGTAGGAGGGTGGTCGGAGTACAATGGCTGCTGGAATAAAAAAGGAATCCAAATCGTAGCAGAAGAATAGGTACTGCTCAAGCTATCTCAAAATTGCTCAAGCAGTCTCAAGACCGCTCGAGCGACCCAAAGGACAATCTATACTGCTCACTTGTTAGTCTTTCTCGATTTTATCCCAAAGTGTTCAGAGACAGCTCTAATCGAATGCAAGCGAGTAAAGGGCGATTCCCACTGATTTTTAAGTCAAAAACTAAGTAAAAACTTCTCCCCTTGAGCACTGAAGGATGTTACTCAAGTGGAATCCAATAAATGAAACAAACCATATTTTCAAAAATGCATTTAAGGTTTTGAAAACATTTTCAATAACAACCCTATGAGTCATTTGCGGATAAATTCCCAATTCCATTTTCTTCGTAATCATCCTAAGTTAAATGAATTAAACCGAGGGTTTCAACTTTCATAGATTTCTAAGTTCATTACCTTTGCCCTAAACTCGAAGGTGCATCGAAATGATCTTGATGTGGCATTGTAGCTTGATCTCCTTTCCCTTTTAGTCACTTATATATTTTGATCTTTGAAACTGGATGACTATGGAATTAAGTTGAGATTACATAAGACTTTAAATTAGTCAATTACAAACATGTTCCTAACAATCTCCTCCTTTAGCAATTTCATGACAAAATACAAGAGTAACAAATTAAATGTTACAATTCGAAAACTAATAAAAACAAAACAAATTATAAACTAATCTCAACACCCTAGTACCACGTTGTCTATCTCAATACACAATATATAAACTATCTTCTTGATGAAAGCTTTGAAGATCATAATCCAACACACCACATCTCAAACCAATACCTCATAAAAAGCATCATATGTAAACAATACATAACATCATCACAGGTATAACTATCAACAACAGAAGTTTAGAGCATTTTCATGTTAACATCATGCAAGTACAAATATGCAGCATATAAGAGCAATGTTAGACCATTATACTTAAGAACCTATATCTTTATCAAAGACAATACACAACAAATTATCCCCCTTAGTTGGTATTCATAAATAAAATAACAAGAGAAAAATAGTAAAAAAATAAGTGAATTTATGACAAATTTATATATGTCCTCCCCCCAAGTATTTCAACAACCTAACCCTTACTCTATTCCCATGCAACTAATCCTAACTAGCAAATCAAAATTAACCCAAAACTTCTCCCTTTCTTTGTCACAAAGTTCCAAACACGCAATTATAACAAGGAAAGTGTACAAACATGGTATAATAAAGAGATAAACATTTTAATATAAGACCATGAATGAATAAACACTCTCAAATCTCCCATATAATCCTATGGGTTGTACGATGTGGTAACGGATTATACAGTATCCAGGGGTATTCTGGGGGTTAATGGGTGATCAACGGGTTGAGAAAGGACCCCAAATTTTGGGTGTCACACAACTCCCACACTTACCACCTAGCTAGTCTCCTAGGACACCAAGCACCCTTGCACACTTGACACCTAGCTAGTTGGACACCAAGCACCCTCGCATGCTTGACACCTAATGAGACATCAAGCGCCATTGCATGCTTAACACCTAATGAGACACCAAGCACCCTTCCCCCCTCGGACATCTAACCACGACAAAGATTCATCATTTTAGGACACCTAATATACTTCTCATCTTGACACCTAACTATGACAAGGACTTTTAAATATATTGTATAACTAGATTATTAAAATATACTTGTAGGATTTTTATTTTTTTATTTTTTTGGTAGTGGAGTGGCTTCCACTACAAAAAAAAAAAAAAGGAGGTTTAACAAGTAAATTTGACTTTTTCCTATTCCTCCCTCTGATAACACCTAAATTAATGCCCATCCCCAAAATTTTAAATAACAAATTGCACACAAACCCCATAACATTTAAATGCATCTACCTTACATGCTTTAGGCTTCACAAATCTACCCACCTTAGAAAAATTTTGTCCCCAAATTTTATTTACCTTCCTTAAATAAGTGAGGATACTGAATTATCGTCTTCTTCTCGCTTTCCTAGGTTGCTTCTTCAATAAAGTGATCTCTGCACAAGACCTTCATTGATGAGATGGTCTTATTACGTAATACTCGATGTATGCAATCAACGATCTGTACTGACTCTTCTATATAAGTCAAATCCTCTTTCAGTTCTATTGGTTGATCAGCTAGCACAAATGATGGATCTGGCAAATATTTTTTGAGCATGGACACATGGAATACATTATGTAGTCGAGATAACTCCATAGGTAGCACTAACCTATAAGTTGTCACACCTATCCTTTCAATAATCTAATAAGGCCCTATATATCGAGGACTCAACTTCCCCTTCTTCCCAAACCTTAATACCCTTGTCCGTGGTGAAACCCTAAGAAACACCCACTCACCCACTGAACATGTCTTCCAAAGTTTATATCGTCCGTTCTAATTGGCCATTGGTCTGTGGGTGGAAGGTTGTGCTAAACTTTAGAGTAGTCCCCATTGCTTTCTGCAAAATTTTCCAAAAAAGTAGAACTTTGGATCTTTGACTGCCATAATGGATACTGGAGACCCATGTAATCTCACAATTTCATCCATATATAATTTGGCATATCTCTCCAAAGTATAAGTGGTCTTCACACGAAGGAAATGTGCTGATTTGGTTAACCTATCCACCACCACCCAAATAGAGTAATAACTATTCAATGAACGGGGTAGCCCAACCATGAAATCCATAGTAATATGTTCCCACTTCCACTATGGTATAAATAGTGATTGCAGCAATCCAGCTGGATGTTAATGTTCTGTCTTCACCTGTTGACAAACTAAGCAACGTGCTACAAATGCTACTATTTCTCTCTTCATGCCACTCCACCAGTAATGTGCCCAAAGATCACGGTACATTTTAATACTACCCGGATGCATAGTATAAATTGAACCATGAGCTTTATCTAAGATATCTCGATTTAAACTCATATCACTTGGGACACACCACCAAGTATTAAACCAAAGAACCAATGATTGAAATATCATTTCAGAGTACTATTTCGGTCAGCTAGAAGACGATCCCCCCAAACCAAAAAAATAATAATAAAAAGTAGACAGGAGAGCCATTCATAACCTACAAGATGGGTCATCCTTCCAGCAACCACCAATCAGTATTGTTGTTGCATTATCCAATAAACAAAGATTTAGAAAATTATTTTGAATCTTCTGCGCAATTTAAAGTTTGACTAGTTATTACTCTAGCCGGATTCAAAAATTCAAATTGGAATCTTCAAGTGAAAATTCAAAATAATTTTCTAAATCTTTGTTTATTGGATAATGCAACAACAATACTGATTGGTGGTTGCTGGAAGGATGACCCATCTTGTAGGTTATGAATGGCTCTCCTGCCTACTTTTTATATTATTTTTTTGGTTTGGGGGTCAAGAAGTGATGATCGTCTTCTAGCAAAAATATAATTAGAAGTTGTTGCAGATGTTTATCAGGCCCTTCGAGGTACTCAAGAGGGTGGGTACAATGGCTTACCAGTTGGTGTTATCGCCAAATTTATCGGGTGTTCATTTAGTGTTCCATGTCTCTATGCTCCAGAAGTATACTCCAGATCCGATACATGTAGTGGATATACTCCAGATCCGACACATGTGGTACATTAAGCTGAGTTAACTGTTGATGCGGACGAGACCTTTGAGGAGGAACTAATGTGTATCATGGATGGTCGGGAGTAAGTTTTGTGAGACAAGACTATGAGGCTAGTGTAGGTGTTGTGGCAACACCGAGGTATGGAGGAAGCGACATAGAAACGCTTGTAGTATCTTCACCTCATATCCTCCAATGAACCGGCAAAACTTCTCTGACAAGCCGGCTTACCAGTTGGGGAACCAGCAAACCTCGGAAGTTTCTAGTATCTGGCCAAGCCATGAAGAAGTTTGACAAACTGGTATACTAGATGTAGCTATTATAACGCAACGGTAATAATCCGATACAAAGGATGAGGCTTCAGTAGTTGATTCAAATTTACTGAGATTCAGCATTTTAATCCTTCTTTGACCTCCACTATAAATAGAAGTCTCAAAAACATTTTAGGGTCCTTCTTGCACATGTGAACTTATGAGCTAAAAGTCAAAGGAGATCTTATTCTTTGTTGAGTTATTGTAAGCTTTTAAGAGATCAACTATTTTTCTTATCTTCTATTATTGATTTGAAGATAGAGATTGATTATTATATTCTTCTTGAGTGAATCTTGTAAGAGAGAAATCTTTGTCTTGTACTCAAGGAAGAACAAGTGTAAAGGTGTTGGAATCTCACCTATTGAAGAGATTCAAGAAAGAGGAAGTGAATCTCCAAGAGGAGAAGGAAGAGAGGACATAGGCCAAAGTGTTAGGGCCGAACCTATATATATCATTGTGTTTGATCTCTCTCTCACTCCCTTTACTTTATATTGTTCTTATTTACTCGCAAACATACTTTATCATTGTCATCTACCTTTGAAATTATCATATAGGTTGTTTTACTTCAAAACGAGTGAAATTAATTTTTTAATTGAAAAATTGCTTTGTAAACCTAATTCAACCCCCCCCCCCCCCAAAAAAAAAAAAAATAGGTTGCACTTTGGGTCAGCACTAGCTTCTTTAAAAGACCTATTTGAGGATCCTAGCCTCACCTACACCGACTCTTTTCCATCTACAGGTTTTGGTACTGATGCCATTACCTTTGACCACTCATTCCATCGTCCACATTCTAATCATAGGATTATTCTTAGAGAGTATATGGTTAGGGCTTCTTCTTTTAGTCTTATCTATGACTATACTGGTGTAGACACAGATAATGACTAGGTATCGATCTCTAGATGACAATTCAATAAGTCTAGGTATCCATCCTTATCATCACCTCCAGCGATCCAAACTAGAAGAGTTTCATTGGATTCACTTTCTGACAGAGTCAAGCTATAGATGCCAGACTTGGTCAGCTTAGTGAGAGATTCTCCTTCCCAAGGAGCAATAGGCTACCAAGATTCCTAGGCCAAGGCTAAAAAGATTAGATTTCTTATTGAGAGTTCAATTAGTGCATTCACGAACTTTGTAAAAAGAAGGTATCTTAAAGACACAACCCTCATCCTTGACTATTCGGAGTTCTTCCTTTAGGTTCGTTTCTTTTGCTTATTATGACAACGATGCGCACCATCAAACCAAATGCACTTGAAAAACAAAAGGAACCTTCGACACTGTAGCCGAGTCTAAGGAATCCAACCCAAAGAAACTTAGTCCATCAAAGCTGCAAATAAAAAAAAAGTTATCAAAGCCATTCGGATTCAAAGCAGTTGGCGAGGAGTAATCGCCATGGTGCATCTTTCCGGTTATCATACGCACCGGTGATAGGAGGATTAGACCATTCTATGCGAGAGCTTCTCTAAATAGTCATAATCAATCTGAGTCAATTCTTTGGCCACTATGTCAGCCTTAGACTTCAAGACTAAAAAAGGAATTCGATATGTTTTATCAAAGGTCTATATCTTTATTAGGAATCTTAGGATAATGCTCAAGCTTAAATGCAATATCCCAACAGATCCTAGCATGGCAGCCTAGTTTGATGTGTTTTGAGTCCTTCTAGTGATCTAGGTCTTAGGTTCCACTCTTGCCTATTTCACTTCTTGGATTGCTAGAGATCAAGTGATTTGAGTGTATCTATCAAGATTCAGGATAGGTTTTGAATAATTGGGTTAGATTAGGACAGTAAATGTAGCCAAGAGTTGTGATTGACAAAGGAGCCTAGTCTAGGAAGTCTTTTTTTTTCCTTAAATTAGCTTGTAAACCTGTTTTTTGGGCAGGAAGAAAATCAATAAAACTTGGAGGATTATTCCCCTTGAAGTGAATCAAATTATCACAGGCTCCTCGGATTCTCTCACTGAGACATAGCCTCTCCATCTTATCTTCTTCACCTAATGCCTATAAAACATATTCCACAAAATAATCATATATCCGCAATCAAATGACTGTATTCTCCTCTCAACAAAGGCTTTTGCAATATCGAGTAGATATTCACACAGACATTTATCACCTTCCTTCTAGTAATATATGCAGAGTCTGTACCACCTATTAACTCAGATTTTACACATGGTTATTGCTTTCTCTGTCAATTTTATCATTTGGTTGTATTGCTACGTACTATTAAGTTTTTTACATGGGTAATGATAAAAAGTAAAAAGAATAGAAATAAGGGCAGAGCAAGAGTATACCTTGAGTGTGGAAAGAGAGCAACTCTGATATCACAGCAGGTCTACCCAAGTGCCAGGAAATGAAAGGTGCAATAGGACCCCTTTTGAGTATAGAGAGCATGTTCTTGACCCTATCAGCATTTTCTGGGTGCTTTTCCAGTACATCAAGAAAACCAGGGTCCATTCCGGTATCAAATACGCCTATGCCAGTATCATAATTGAGCATACCCTCGTGCCAGAACACGTGAATCCGATCCGTTGGGAGAGAAGATGGAGGACGAGAAGTAATGGGCTGATCGGCCATTTTGGGAAAGGGCTTGCTTCGATCAAAACGGAAACAGAGCTTATGTTCTCTGTTTACACTTTGCCGATTCTGCCCGAGAGTTGCACTCTGACAGTGGGTTGGCCAGTGGATAAAGATTCCGTAGGACTGTGTAAGTTGGAAAATTAATTCTGATTCAACGAGTTGAATTAAGGTTTAACTCAAATTAAACCGATATTAACTGAAATTTGATGCTCGAGCTATACCCAACATGGGCTAAATTTTGCGTTGAATTCAGGTTGAACTTAAATTCGTCAGTTCAAAGATGATGCATGAAATAATTTCCAAAGAATGGGCTCAGATGCGCGGGTCAGACAAGGAGATCGGGCCAAACACAGACCTCAGATAATCGGAGTCATATCTCCTCCCAAACGAGACAACAACGAAAACGATAAGAGAATAGTTGGATGTGAGCTGGAACCCTGTAAACGGTCGAAAGTCATATCCAAGGCGCAAAACTTTCAACTAACCAAGATATTCTCCAAAAAATTAAGGAGAAATTTAAGGGTGAAAGACTAGGATCTCGGTAGAGATCCCACAAATTAAGGAACAACTCTATAAATATTGTGTAGCGCCTCCAATAATAGAGAGGCCTAGATTTCCTGGGAGAAAAATTGTAACCTTCATCCACATCTATAGAATAAAGAGGAGAAAGAATCTCCATTAAAGAGTGGATTAACTGAATTTCTGAATTGGTGAACCACTATATTTTCACTGTGTAATCCCCTCTCCAAATCTTTGAAGTTCCTTGTTACGAACCTCACAAGCCAAGGAGCTTTGTCCTAGTTTATCAAGCATAATATCGACCCTCTGCTCACCCACGTAAATTCCACCATTAAATTTAATTGGGAAGTTTTTGTCAAGCTGTAGCCATATGTTAGAAGCCTTTATACAAGAACTAAATATTCCAAGTTGAGTTCTGATTCTCAAATTGCAATTCCAAATTTAAATGCAATATGCTTTAACGAGGTTAGTGTAAGATCCCGTAGTAAAAATTAAATAAGGTTACTATTATATTAAGGTTTCTCTTAAGATGAATAAAATGATGGTATAAACTTAGAATTATTGTTGAAAGATTGATCATGAAGTTTGAGTTTTGGACAAATTAATTTTTGGATAAACTCTCCCCCACACTCTTATCTTTATATAACGAGTAATCATTTCTTTTTTGAAATGCTAATATTGTAAAACCCGGATAAATATATGAAATCGTTTGTAATAGAACTTGTACCAACTATATTTGATGAACAAATTTATGTTGTATAAGTTTGGGTTGGTGTTGGAAGGATTTGGAATAGATTGAAAATGAAAAGTTAGGCGTTCTAGGCAGCGTACCGGCACTGGTACTGTGAACACCAGAAGCTAAAGTGTACTGGTACTGTTTGCTCTAGACCAGTTTTCATAACATTGTCATAACTTTTGATCCAACCGTCCGATTGAGCTGAAATTTTGACACAATACAAAGGTAATCCAAATCTACAACTTTCATGATTTTTTCTTCTTCATATTCGAAGTGGATCATGGTTAAAAAGGAGAAAAACCAAAGTACTGTCACCTAATGGTGTGGGTACTAGTGCCTATGTTGCCAAAGCTTTGGGACTAAGTATTCTTTCTTTCAAATGTTATAAATGGACAATGATAGAGTACCAAGGATGGTATGTTGGACCTCGGATGGGTCAATCGATTTAAACCTTTATTAAGAGCGGTTCGGACAAATAAAATAGTAATTTTAGTGTTTCAAGTGTAAATTATGTTAGTATAAAGATTAATCATAAAACTAAATATTTTTAGGTTAAAATAACATTAAAAATGAAACCGTAATGTCTAAAAACCTTAGGGAAGTCATAGGGATCAAATTGGAGATATTTAATGAAAAAATCAATAATTTTGGAGAAAAATATAATTTTTGGCCCTATGAATAGTAAAATTCGGGATTGGCTGGCTTTAAAACACCATTTCCATCTCATTCTCCTCCATTCTTTTACTCCACTCTCACCACATCTCTCTTAGAAACCTAGGGGAAGATTAGGGAAGAAAGAAAAGGGAGAAATGAGGCCTCTAGAGCTTAGACTTTACTTGGAACATTTGATTCAAGGTAGGAGTTTCTTCCTATTCTCTTACTGTGACACCCCAAATTCATGGGGTCCGTTAATTTTCCATCAACCCACGGAATGTCTGTGGATACCGTATAACTCAATATCGCACTGTTGTGTCCCATTTACTGAATTTAACGAAATTCGGACAGAGTCTCCTTTGTACGGAAAGCTCTACCCCAAAACACAATCTGTGCAATCAACATTTACATGACCCATCCGAGGTCCAATATAATACAATAACCACACAGGGTCTATTTTATACGTAAAACTTGACCACACTGGGTTCAATCATCATATTTATATCAAAATATGCAAGGGTTATATTAAAACAGTCTACACAGACTTTATTACAATTCCTTTACACATTACATGCCAAAGTTTAATTACAAATCTACTTTTACAAAAAAAAATGGATTGGAAGCCACAAGTCGGCTTTTTTTCAACCATGTGACCCTGATTGTGAGTCGTCCATTGGTGCATGACCCACACCTGAAATGTTTCCCATATAGGGTGAGCCAATGCCCAGTAGAATAATCCCTACAGAGGCTACTTATCACCTAAAATGCATATGCAATGTATATATGCAACATTTCACAACAAGTATTCCCTCCAACAATAACATATAATACAATGTTAGAAAATCATGATGTCATGCCAAGTAATGAGATGGAACTCACTCATGCATGTTATCCTGAGCCCACACTAACTCTCACAACACAATGCGACACTTACGTGTAAAACAAACGTTTTTGATGAAACACATCCAAAGATCATTTTGAAATCAACCATATGTCATAAAACTAATTCATTCTTGGATGTTTTCCATCAAATGAATAATTTATATATCAAAATCATGTGCCTTTATGGGGTATCGGATTCAGGAATCGCACCTCCGGCTCCGTACGCCGTTACACTTTTCTGAAATTTCACCGCCGGTAAGTGTATGAACCAAGTGGCCGGGTTTTTTACCCGAGGGAGTGTCTAGCCCTACTTGCTATACCCGACACAAGTTTTCTTATGCATGTCACCGTGCGACTCCGTAGGACGTTCCATCCCACTTTCCCGAGCCTACCATCAAGCACCAATGTTGGTGTTGATCACCCCATGCAACCCTACACCCACACTCATGCATGTAGTCCATGAATGTGATGTTAATTCCATGTCCATATTGCAATGCATGTCAAATGATAATTTTTACATATCATTGTATATCATGACAATTAATATCATTTGCATATAATCACATAACTATTTCAAGTTCAATATATCCAAGAGCATATATCAACACTCCATCAACATGATAACACATAATACATGCTAATATTACATTTCATTTACAAGGCATAATATAAAACACAAAGTATGCCCACATGATCCCAATTTCCAAGGGATTACATAAATACTTCCATATACCAAAATCAAGTCAAGATTTTATATGGATCATTCAAACAAAATAAAAATCAGAATATATGATTTTTATATAACCAATTATCAAAACATTCTAGAAATCACAAACTAGCACTTTCTAACTATCAATTCACACTAGAATTGATCCTACCCATTTCCATAACACCAACCATAATGAAAAAATGTTAGAAATAACCAAAACAGCCCACATGAACCCTATGGACACCTTAGGTTAGAAATAGGTCCGAGTGGGAGGAACCCTACCTCTTGAAGCGTAAAGAATTTGTAAGAAGCCTCAAGAACAAGATTCAAGCCCAAAGCTTAGATTTCTCCAAAATCCTCCCGTTGAATCTTCGGTGAAAATCTTTGTTTTTGGTACCCACACGTAGCTCTCGTCGCGTAGATCGACTTTAATTCTTGGCCCGACGAATTCCGACCGACGGAACTCTGAGAATCGGCGGAAGAAAGTTTGAAGAATTTTTTTTTTCTTTGCTCTTGGGTCTGATCCAGCCGGCCAAATGAAGAGAAAACATCTGATTTTTCAGATATTTGCCAACTTTTATACTTTTTAAACACTTGGCCCTCGTCGCGCCAAGTGTCGTCATTTGTTCGGGTCCGTTTTCGCCCCGAAACGATTAAATTTTGTACCGATTTAAACTCAAAATATTTTATATGAACTTTATTTAAAATATTTTTCAACTTTTAAAATTTTTATAAAAATTTCGTTTTTAGGGGTCATCGAACACCCGTCACCTCGAAAAACGTGAAAATTCTAATTATCTCAGAATTCGATGAAATTTCTCTGGGTAACTAAATTTCGTGAGATGAATCCAAAAGTGAGGTCCGTTTCATCATCCGAGGTCTATAGAAATACCAATTTTTAACCCGCACTATAATGACAAATTACCATTTTACTCTTTTTTTTTTCAGAAAAAGTTAAATTTTTTTTTTCCGGGTTTCACACTTACATTGAGGTTATGGCTTATATTTATATGTACTTTTTAACTCTAAATCATATATGTATGCTATAAAATCTTTGATTCTTGTTATTCATGCAATTATTATCATGTTTTAAACAATGTTATGGTTAGGTAACCATTAAAGCCCTTTTTCTCATCATCAAACCGTAATTTTCAGAAGAAAGGGATTTTTCTCTTAATTTTTCCTTTGTTCTTGATTTTAAAACTTTAGTACTTTATATTGAACCATAAAATGGTATTTGTGATGATCTCTTGCATATTTTCTTAAATTGTTCTATTGTAATATTACATGTGAAATTTAGAAATTTTGGATTGGCTTGTGATCTGAAGAAATTGGTTGGTTATGATATCTCTTGTGGGTGTTTAGATGACCATAGGTGGCCGTTGACTGGGTATCTCAGGTGGGTAGATGCGTTTCTTACTCCGTGTGGATTTGAATTTTTTTCTACCACTCGTAGTGGGGTTGGTGCCTTATGAGGACCAAATCATTATTTGTTCACGGGTACCAAGGAGAAGGGGTAGTATAATATTCCTGGGTTGGATTCGTCACTACCATGAGTTGGTATATGCCCTTCCTAAAGGTTGGATATCCTTGCGAGGATTTGGGTGTGTGTGTGTGGGCCAGGATATTCTCGATATGTTTATTCATGCAAATCATGCATCATACCTGA